TTTTTGTGTGGTTTTACTAGTCTTTATTGCATTAGTTTCTGTTCTTTATAATTTCCTCCTTCATATGCCCTTTGGGTTGATTTATTCTTCTTTTTCTAAAAGCTTGAGATTTAATATTAGGTTTTTTATTTGAGCTTGTTCATTTTTCCTGCTGTGCGAGTTCATCACTATAATTTTCCCTCATGGGCTATGTCCATTGTATCCTATAAGTTTCAGTATATTTTATTGATATCATTTAATTGTAAATAGTGTTTAACTTCATCTTGAATTTCCTGTGTGACTCGTTATTTGTTCAAAAAGTTGTTTGTTTTTATTTCCATGTATTAATGTAGGGTTTTTTTTTTTTTTCCTTTGTCATAGATTTCCAGTTTATTGGGCTTTGGTCAGATAGTACTTGTCCTAGTTACTTTTTGCTGGCTGCTGAGACAAAATACCTGAAGCCCAAAGTTGGGAAAGGAAAGGTTTATTTCTTACAGTTTTTGGAGGTTTCAGTCCATACTCAGCTGGCTCCAAAGCAGGGTGGCACGGCTGGGCCGCAGTTCATGGCGGCTGCAAACAGCAAGGCAGAAACCCTCAAAAGAGCCAGACACACCTTCTTCCTGAGATTACATTACATCCTGGCTCCGCCCCAAGGGCAGTGTAGACTCACACCCCCAATTTAAGCACTAGACAATGAACCAATCACAAATGCAGAATGCAAATGCATGAGGCCTGGGGGCCACAAACATAAACCATGACAGTACTCATGATATAATTTCAATTCCCCTGCATTCACTTAATGTTTTGTCAGCTAATATATTCTCTATTTTGGAGAACATCTTATGTGAAGCATGTGCATTGTGATGTTTTGTGGTGTAACACTCTGTAGACATCTACCAAGTCCATATTTTCATAGACTTGTTTTAACTCTAACGTTTCTTTGTTGATTTTTTTGTCTAGTTGTTCAATTCATTTGTGAGCACTGGGCATTAAGGTTCCCCACTACAATTGTGTTACTACTTATTTGGTTTTTCAGTCAGTTATTATTTCTTTTATGTATTTGGTGCACCAGTGTTTGGTGCATTAACATTTATGATTTTTATCTTTTCCTTTTGGAGTTTTTCATTAATGAGTATGTCTCTTTTGATGAGTTTTGGCTTAAAGTTTGTATTATTTGTAAATAAAATAGCTATCTTTGCTTTTTTCTGGTTTCCTGTGGAATGGAGTATTGCTTTTCATTCTTTAGCTTTTAGTCTATGAGTTTCGTGAATGCTGCATATTGCTGGATCTTATTTCCTGATCCATTCTACCAGGCTTTTTCTTTTGATTGGTGAGATGAGGTCACTGATGGTCATAACTGATGTGTATTGACTTTTGTTTTTCATGCTGTTTCCTTGTTGTTTTTCCTAGTCTTTCTGTTATGTTTAATTGCTTGCTCTGTGTGGCAGCTTCTTTCTATTTATGTTTACAGTCTTTGCTGTCACTTTCTAATATAACTTTTAGAGTATTTTGTAGGCTTATTAGACTAATGACTTTTAGTCTAACATGACTTAAAGCATCCTGCTGCTCATCATTAATTTCTTCAGTTGTTCTTTGTTAAAGAAGTATCTTATTGTTCTATCAATTTGGAAAGATAGTTTTTCAGGATACATCATTCTGGGTTGTGGGGTGTTTTCCATCAGGGTTGAAATACTTCACTCTAAGTTCTTCTTGATGTTAGAATTTCTGAGAAGTTTGCAGTGATTCTGATGGTTTTATTTTGTAGGTGATACATTTCTTTTCTATAGCTGCTTTTAATATTTTGTTCTTGTGCTGAATGTCTGGAGTCTTGATTATTATTATATGCCTTGATGCAGATTTATTTTGGTCATGGATATTTGAGGATTCTATATGCTTCATTAATTTGTATGCAAATTCTTTATCCATGTTTATTTCTGTGAAGAGGTTTTTAATGATTTTTGAGCTGTCTCCAGTTTTCTCACTGATTCCAAAGAGCTTATGTTGTTCTTTGCTTTATCTGTAGCTGTTTGGATTAACTTTTTCATGTTCTCTTACTATTTTTAAGATATGTTTCCTTTCATGGCCACTAGTTGTGTGCTTAGCGTCTAGATCTGATATTTTAGTTTCACCTTCATTCAATCTGATATATATATATATATACTTTCAGTGGAGCTTTTAATCTCTTACATTTATGTGAGGATGTCTTTCATGAATTCCATTTCTTGTTTGTTTGGTATTCATAGTTTCCATCCTTATCTTGAGCTCCTCCACTTCCTTTTCAGTGTCTGCTTTAATGTCTTTTCTTTTACCAGTTATTTCTCTGCACTTTAGAGATTATTTTTTCTATGGCCTCTTCCATTTGTTTTTGCACTTCTGCACCTATCATTTCAGAAATTTCCATTTGTTTTCTTCCAATTCCCTGTATCTCTTTGGGCTATGGACTTGTCCTGGGTGGACTGGGTGTTTGGAATTACGTTTTGCTTTCTCATCTTGTCATTTTCTATTTTCTACTTTGTTTTGTTTTCTATGTTGATGCTTTTAGATTTCTGATGTTACAAAGGCTTACCAGTAATGTCAAGGCTTTCTTAGGAGGTGTCTGTTCCTCAAGATGCCTTCGCTAGCTGACACCACTTTCCTGGGGCAATAGCAGGAGCACAGAGTTTGGATTCATAGTGCTTTTGCTAGCATTGCTGCTGGCCAAGTACAGTGGAGGAGGCACCAAGTGCAGATTTATACTCTACTGCTGGCACCTCTGGCCCAGGGAAATGGAGGAGGTTCAGAGAAGGAACCTACACGTTGCTCACCAGCACTGCCATTCCAGGGCAATGAAGGCAACACAGAGCCTGGACTCACAGTCTGCTTGCTGGCATCACCATCCCAGAGCCTAAAATTTCTTAAATGTATGACCTTGTACAAGTCATATAATATCACTAACATTCAATTTTTATCTCCATGAAACAAAAATAATGATTTTATAATATTTAATATGTTTTTATATATTTACATATTCTCTGTAACCTGGGAGTAATGATTCAATAATCCTCATGAATTATAACTGAATAAGACAATTTTTTACATGATCAGGAACCTGGACCATATTAATAATCCACTGCAAATAGTTATAATCCTTGGGTTTACATTATTTTTATCTTTGAAAGGTAATATATTTGACATAACAACATATATGAAAACACATTTTTTGGATTTTTTTGGTTTCCATTAAAATATTTACCAAAAGTGTTCCAAATGTGAGTTATAATGTTTACAAATCATAATGTTCTTAAAACTAAAATCTGCTTATCACATCAAAATCTGACTATGGTTTCCTAAATATTACCAACCAATGTTTGAAGATATTAGGGAGTTAGGCAAGTGATTTATTTTTAAAAAATTTCCACATATTTGCAAGCAAGAAACAATTTATTATCTTCATACAAATTATTTCCATGTGCCATAGCAGACTGAAGGAGTTAATATCATTTCAATATACTACTTAGTGACAGACAAAGATTAAATTTGGGAAAAAAATATTTACAGAATTTAATAGTTAAGAAATATCAAAATGGAACACATGGTTCCATAGCTGATGTTTTTCCAATATACTTTGTTTTAATTGGAAATGAAAAAGGATAAGTACGTGTAACTCTTTACCACAAGTATCTGTAACACTTCTCTTGGCTAAGCCCCAACCCAGAAGCCACAAAATATGCCCTATTGGATAAATTGAGGGCTTCCCCACTTGCATAGATTCTGACACAAGTCACAAACAAAACTTGTGCCAACGATTACATAACTTGCTTTGCTGCTATAGCAAACTTGCTTCTTCCTCTTTGGGGCCCACTTAGTCACTGCTCATTTATCTTGTTTCCTGTTGGCCTATTCACTCTGCCCAGTCTTTTAACATTGGTACCCAAGCTCTCTACCACACAGTTCACTCCAAGCAAACTGGCCTTAAAAGTCTGTGTTGAAGCAGAATTTTTACTATGTGCCATAGAGGCAATTTGGTCTCCACCAAATAGAAATCTGAACCCTTGACCTGCATCTCTTTCTCTCAGTGTTTGGCATTAATGTGATATAATTCCTACAGATAATAGAATTGATCCTCTAATCCAATCTCCTCATTTTACAAAGGATAAAATGATCTCACTTTAGTTACTTTTAGATTCAAATGTTTCTCATGGGATTTTTGAAGAAAAAGTATAAATCACTTCAAATGGGAGGCTAATTTCTGGAAAGTTTCCACAAGTGGCTAGTTTCCTCTGCGTTTTATTGATTCCTAATGTTTCATCCAGAGGATAAAATTTCTGTATTGTTCCCTGAAAGGAAATAGCTCTTTACTGATAATTAGTGTATGTCAAGTGAGACTGTAGCATTGTCTTTGAATGAAGATGTACAGAACCCAATATATAAAATGTACCTAATTCTTTCTAAGAAGTTATTAATTTAAATCATTTACATGAATCATTCTATGATTTATTTCTTCTTTCTTTAGCTCCTTTGAAATTTACATTTTAGTTTATTTGGTACTTTACAGTGTATAAAGTATGTTACAGCATATTCTACTAGTAAAAGTATATTTATAATATAAATGAATAAATGAATAAGCCATGGATTTTTTCTAGCTGGGTGAATTAGACCACTGAAAGAAAAATAAATAAATTGTAAAAATGTCAAGGACTCTGGTAAAAATGGGATGTTGATATATTTGAGATCACTAAATTCCTTAATTTTATTTCCTCAAAAGGCCAAATATTTCCAAACACTCATAAATGGTGAAAACATCCAAGGTACTGCCTAACAGTGTGCCATCCACTGAAGTTACCAAAAGTAAATGTTTAGGCTTCTTAGTAGCTAAATTTTCCTGATGGAGTTTACTTTTCAGTAAATCCACTGTGTCTATCACTGCTGCAAGGTTCTGGTGTCTGCATATCCCTTTGAAACTAAATTGGTTAGGTCATTAAAGAAAAGTTACTTTGAACTTTAACTATTTTCTTGTGTAAATAATGAAACAAAGCATGGCATAAATGCTACATGACTTTATTAATCAATTGGTAAATTATATTAATCCTTATGGGAAAAGATGTCTGCCTTCAAAACAACAGATTGAAAAGGAAAAGAAGATTAAATGTCATGAATCAGGTTTTCTTCAAACCTAATTCCTGGTATTCATTTGGATACTTTGCTTTTAGATCAAACTGAGGAAAGTTGCATATTAATCCATTAACAACTTTGGTGGCACATATCCATTTCAAACAATGAAGGAAATTTATCTAAATTTACTATTCTGTCATACTCAACCACACTTTAATCCTCATTTCTTTATCTGGAATATAGTAACTTCCTCCAATACTTGGAAAGAATATCAGTCAAATACTCCATCAACACTTTCTGTGTTTTTTTAATACTATTTCTTTCATGCTATTTCCAGAATTTCTGTAAAAGCATCATTTCTCCCTTTAAAATGTCAAGTAAAACATATGTGCTACTGCATGTACACATTGTGTCCTCCATGCTTGGAGCTAGGGATAGAATATAAACTAATTCCTGTTTAGTAAAGACATCCCAGTCCCCAGCACCAGCTCCACTCTGTAGATTATGGCCTCCCCTTATTTACATAACAAAGCCATCTTATTCAAAAGAAAAAAAGGCTGATGAAAAATCACTTAATGTAAACATTAGTTTAAATTACTGATTACTTTAAAGTCAAAATTTTCAGCAAAATTGTATTCACTGTCACAATATTTATTGTAAGATTGTGGCTAATATGTAATACATTGTGCAATAATTATTTATGAATTCACTAACAGCTCCATCAGCAACACAAATCAGCAAAATTTCTACTTCAGTGTTCTTGTACACAACAGAACAGAGTCTAATTTAGGTTTTTAAAAGTCTTGTTTGGATCTTTTCTGAGTGATTTTTGACTCAAAGAAAAAATAACCTACAAAAGTAGAAGATATCAGTACTGTTATCAATAAAGTACATTTGTGAATTTAGTCTCAGTGTCTTGAGATTGATCCATAAGCTGAAGAGGAGAAACAGAGGAAAAGAAGAAAGACAGAGAGAGAAAGAGAAAAATAGATGACAGGAGAGAGAAACAGATAACCAGATAGATATGGAAGGATAGATATATAAGCACAGAAGTAGAATCACATATGGTATGGACATAATGTAGACATTGACATGAAGATAAATAGCATACATATGATATACAGATATAAGTAGACCAACGTGTAGTCCATAATACCATAATGTCCTGTCCCACTTGATTTATTGATTTATGCAAACTGGAAAATAGTTTGCATACAATACAAACAATAGTTTGCATGTTGGAGCATATTCTTTGCCTGAAGAAATGTATAGTGGTTGAAAGAGCTTGCTACACAGCAGTAGATGTTTTTATGCTTAAAATGAGTCAAAGATAATATACATATATGCAGTTCTTACTGAGGCATGGACTCAACCATGCATAGGAAACACTTGGCAGAAGACCTTTGTAACTTTCCAAAAGTGCCATTAAGAGAAGAATTCTATTGTAATTTACAAACAAAAACTTCCATTTGATATTTAGAAACATTTTTCCAGCTTCAGTGATAGGGTTCCTTATTTAAACTTAAAATTTATCTGCAAGTTTTATGTAACAAGGTGACTGGCATATAGATAAGACAAAACAAACCTTATCTTCCCTTGAAACATCCAACATTTTATACAGTAGTGAGTTACATTAAATATACACACACAAAAAATACATATACATTCACAGTCACAGCACAAATATAAATACAATTGCATACTCACACATTTATGTATTTTTTGAATTAATTTAAGTTGATTCCAATTGATATTTAGGTGTGTTTTATATGATTGACCACAGTGTTACATACATGTAATTATTTTGCTACACTGTTTTTTCTCCCAAAATTCTTGAGCTATGTTCACTTCACCTGCGAAGTGGTAAAGGTCAAACTAGTTTTAAATGCTAGCTTTACAAATCTAATTCATATTTCATTGTTCTAAAAACCTTTTTATTTGCCATATGGTTTTAATTTTAATTCATGTATTTCATTTACAAAATGGAAGTTAAAGATGGAATAAAAGTACTAAAGCCACCAATATATATAGCAGTATGTTTGAGGAACAGTATATACTGGATTCATATTGACTAGAGTGATGGTTTGCACTAAAAGCTTTAGACTCATTTGCCATGTACGCTTAGTTCCTGCATATCGGTATACAGTAGAATGCGTTGACTAATTCTGTGATCCAAATGATTTTGGCTTGTAGAGGGTTGCTAGGTTTTTAAACTATTCTTGATTAGTTATATAATTACTTGCAAAAATAATATGAAACACAAGAGACCAAAAACAATAACAATAACAGCAAACTATGGAATGTCATTAGAGATTACTGCATATTTTTTGGCATGGAAAATGTAAAACATCTTCCAATAAACTAAAACATTTCTCTGTGCATCAACTTGCAATTACTTGTACTTTTTTCTGTCTTTCCTATCTACACTGTTCAGGAATCCTTGGAAATTATCACAATTAAATATTTATATCTCAACTTTTGACAATATTCCTTTTGTCTCACATTTGAAGAGCTTGGAATGTACGTAGAAGATCATTTGGTCTATTTCCAAAACTGCTGATGTTCAATCTGAGAGAAAGAATAATAAAAATACATTTTAAAACTTATGAGCAAAATGTTAAGAAGGTAGTGTAATAGTCTCAAAATAATTCACATGTACTTTTTAAAAATGTTAAAATTTCTTTCATCTAGAAAATTAAGAATTGATTGAAGGAACACTTATTTTCAAATTATCTGTTGGATATCTCCCATTTCCCACTAACTACTTCAGTAATATAGAAAAATGAATCAGTAAGTGGAAAAATGATTATTTTAGAGTTTATGTGTTTGTAAATGAAGTGAAAAAAGCAATATGATTGTGAATATTTGTTTTAAAAATATGTAACCTGGAAGGAAATATTAGTTGTGTGTATTACTTCCTTAAAATGACAGAACATCGAAAAAACACTAAATATAGTTTAACTCCTTTAACTTTATTTTCCAACTAGTAAATTGTCAGTTAGAATTGTACACCTCATTTTCTTCATACTGTATCTCTCAATCTCAAAGATGATTAACATAAACTACAGCATTTCGGGAGGCTGCGTCAAGCACTATGTTGACATATGACAGTGCCATTTTATAAGGGCTTTGGTGTTGAAAGGAAATAATCTACAATATAGTTAATAAAACCATACAGCATTCCTAGCTCTCAACAAGTGCTAGCAATGTATCAACAAATTGACATCACTTACCTAAGCCATAGAAGAAAGACGGTAAGAAGTTAGGATGATTCTACTCAATTTTGTCCCATCAGATCCCCCCTTACAGTGTAGATGGAACTTATCCCTAGGTCAGGTCAATGTTTGAAAACTTACTACATGACACATAGAAATGCAGCAAAGATCTCAAGCACAGCCCCTGGGAGAAATAGTGATCATCCTACCAACATGTACAAAAAATCACTTCAAACTTTCATGTTGGTTAAAGTTCTCTAGCAAAATTAAATCAACAGAATATATACATATACACTATTTACTTTGTTGTTCTACAGAAGCAGATGATGAGTAGTCACCACTGTCCACGTGCTGGACAGCCAGAGGGCTCAGTAGCTGCTCAGTCTTAGAAAGGAGAAGCATCAGAACCAGTGAGGGAAAATGCAGCATCAGTTCCAGGCTGAGTACTGGAAGCCCCCTGTAGACTCATCCCTTTTAAAGCCATTCTGAATGACTGAAGAAGCTGGAATCTGATGCCCACAGGTGGAAGCAGCAGCAAAGGACACACCTGACTCAGAAAAATCAAGTTTTCAGTACAGGCCAACTTCCTCCTTCTTTCCCATTTGATTTTGGCTGAAGTTTATTGCCTGGTGTCGACTGCAGTCAGGCCTGGCACTCGAGACTCTGTTTGGCACTCACCTCTGGAAAGGCTCCCACAGACACATCCACAATCTCCTCAGTCTCTTTTAAGGCTATCAAATAGAAAACCAAGAATAAGGATCAAAGTTCCCCAAACACAGTGAAAGGACAGGCATTTCTACCTTTTAGGATTCATTTTAATTTTTGATTGACATCTGTTATTGTTAATCACTTTTAAATCTAATATTCCTTCTTCAAAGTTTATGACACTGAGTCTGGAGTTAGAATGAAAATGATATGGAATATAGTCTTAGCAGGTGTGAAGTGTACGATAGTAGTTCTAAAATAATGTAGGTTGAAGTCCACTCTTAGTCTTGGAAAACATTGTCCTTTGGGGTCCCACACAAATATTCTGATTCAGTGAGTCTGAAATGTATCCCAGATCTGCATATTGACAACCATTTGTCTCCCTATTATAATTCAGTTGATTTGGGTAATAAGCCTTGAGGGGAAATAAAACAAGTCAAAGTAGGCCAACCACAAAAATAATACCATTTCTAAAATTTGTCAATGATTTTCTGAGATAAAATATAGATTCAGAATTATTTGCAAAGCGTGTTACTGCTAGTCATTATGGGAAATACAGCAAAGGCTGACTAACTATAATCCTATTTGATCCCACTTTAAGAATGCAGATTTTTATTTCAATTCATTCCTTTATCTTGAGGTTTTTTTCTGACGGTATAAAAAAAAACAGAAAAATCATTAGAAAAAAACTTTTCTTGGTCTCTACCTCAAAAACAACAAAAGGAAAAAAGATTTTCTACAATGTAGGATTTACACTTACCTCAACATTTTTCTTGTTTATTATTAGTGTGTGTTTGCAGTAATTAATGATTATATTTCATATGAGGTACTGACTTGTGTACAACAAATTTTAATACTTTTCCATCCCCTTCTTTCTTCCTTCCCCCTCCCTTCATCTTTTGGTACTCTTCCCTTTTGCAAAAGCTCCATATCCCTATTTCCCATTATCTGTCTTTTATTTTGCTCTTTATTTTCATTTTGGATTTCTCATGTAAGATAAGCTATGCAATATTTAAAATTGTGTGTCTGATTTACAACATAATGCTCTTAAGGTTCATCTATTTTCCTGTAAATGTGTCAAATTCATTCTTCTTTATGTCAGAGTAGTACTCCACTGAGTAAGTACCACAATTTCTTTATTCATCTGTTGATGGACATGTAGGGAATATTGAGAATTTTTTTTTCTGAAACTTGGAATCAAACTCAGGACCTTGCATTTGCCAGGCAGGCACTGTGCTGCTGAGCTACACATCTGGTCATGTCACTTCCAGATTTAACTATTATGACAAGAAAGAAAAGAAAAAAATTAAGATAAATAATCATATATGTATGAACAAAGGGAAATACATTAAACAAAGAGAGTCATTATTCCAGGATTCTTCCCTCTGATTTAGAATTACTACCAAAAGGCCATTCTGTTTAAGAATTTTGGTAGAACTGTGAGGAGAGAGAGAGAGAGAGAGAGACAGAGAGAGACAGAGAGAGACAGAGAGAGACAGAGAGAGACAGAGAGAGACAGAGAGAGAGTGACAGAGACAGAGAGAGACAGAGACAGAGAGAGACAAAGAGAATCTGAGTTTGTGGGTAGTGGAGAGAATGTGTATGTGAGTGGATGCATAGAGAATCCTCTCACACATTTGATGCCATGATATATAAACTAATCAGCTTATGGTTTTTATTTTTTTCAATGACACAGTTCATTGGAAGATGGACAATTCAAAAAAGCAATGTTGAATATTTTCATTCTGAAACAGAAAGCATAAGAGAGAGGAAAAGAATAATTTTGATTAAAGTTTTAATTGTTTTATACTTGTCAAGTAGTTCATTTTGTCTTCTTATATTTCAAAATGTTTAGAACCATTTGATGGGATTTTGTCTCAAGTATATTCTTGGATACTCTTACAGGTTGTGAGAGTTATTGCTCAATAACTTTTGGTGGTACTCCAAGTTTGAAAATTAATGGCAAATGTAAGTAAAGGGTTAGAAAGTAGGATGCATGTTTAATGGGAATAGAAAAAAATATTTGCTTTGGAAGACATAAATGTGAGGTATGACAGCTCTCTGAACAATATCGACGGCAAGGTCTAGAGCACTTGTGTAGTGTTCATTAATTTATAATAAGGATAGGAGAGGAAATGGGTGAAATTAAATTATTTATTTTGAAATAAACATTCTTAAGACTGATACCCAACAAAATTAATAACTTATGCTGTTGGGGTTTTTTTAATACGCATGTATGTTTTACAGTAAGATTTTCCAATTGGACTCTATGATCTGTTTTAGTGTAGTCACATAAGAGAGAAAAGCACATCATAGGCTGCATTTTATATATACTACTTCATAAATTTAAATTTGAATGCATAGGTTATATTCCCCAGTTACTTTTTTTTTTTATTTAAGGAGAAAAATTAAAAAAAAAAAAAAAAAAAACAGAAAAAGGGTACAAGTAATACAAAATTTAAAAAAATAAACAGTAAGAAATCACTAGTTAATAGATTACATATTCTCATCTTAGAAATAGTTGTTCAAGTTACAAAATTGAAGCGTATAAAGTGGACCTTCAAAAGTGAGAATGCAGTTTTGTTCAATGATCCAAAAAACACTCAGTAATATGATTATCTATCTGTCTTATACACTTAAACATATATGCAGTTATATCCTTTAGAGCATTTTCTTTTCTTTTCTTTTGTACAATGACAATTACACATTTTGGGTTTTATTATTCCCACAGTTTTTATTACTTTTTTTGAAGAGAGTAAAACCAAATGCGACATATCAGAACAGAGTCAGTCAAATCAAAAGGATGGACATAATAGATAATGTAAAAACAAAATATAAGGTGATCAACAATGGTACCATACTGCCTCTTGCTATTTTAAGAAGAATTGGCAGTTATAATAAAATTGAACTAAACAGTAATTCCTCAGTTACTTTTAAACTATGTGATAAGGTGTCCAACTCAAACACAAATTACTTCCCATGTGCACCGTACTTTACACCTATGTTTACTGCATAATTGCTAAACATCAGAAACGGCCTGGGTCCAAATGAATGAGTAGATAAAGATGAAATGGTGATTTGCCTTCATTCATTCTATCTCTCTCACTCATTTTCAACTATTTGCTTCCTTATGGTAGGGAGAGGTAGAGAGGGTGAGACACACAAAAACTCTGTCCTTTCTGATTGGGTTGAAAAGTAGAGTTTGCAAAAGTTTGTGTCATATTTGAAGAACCTAAAATCCAAACATTATTGAGATTAGTTTTTAAGAAATTAAAGCACATATATTGCCCACATATCAATATCAGCACATATCATAAAAATTTATTAATTTAAAATGCCATTGTAATTTATAATGAGGAATTATAAGTACCTCATTTCTCAAAAGCAAATTAATTTAATTTAAGGAACATCAAACTGTGTTTTATAATTGCATTTTGCAGATACAACACAATGTTAAGTAGAAACAAAAGAACATATTAAAAACTTATATTTGTAAAGATATTTTAACTATATGGTGGCTATTAGAATGCAGTTTTTCCTTTTTAACATAAAAATATATGTATTCAAAGAATAATGATTGATTTTTACTGATATAATAATTTGTACTTGTAATCCTAAAATTAGATATTCCAGGGCAGATTTTAATAGTTCCTCATCCTATGCCAATGCAGGGTTTGGAGGGAAGGAGGGGAAGGGAAATTAAGTAAAGATTATCCCCTGTGAGATCTCCAATATCCCCAGTGAATTTAAATATTGTATGTCATGAAGATGAACTAATATTATCAACAGGAATGAAAATGGGAAAAGGGGATTCAGAGAGGGAGGGAAGGAGAGGAGATTTAGAACAGAAGCTGTATTATGTGCACATACTCCTCAACATGATGCACACTGAACATACTGCAAACATTTAGTAACTTAAAAAAAGTCACTCCCCAAAATGGTGGAGATTTCTTGCAGAAATGAAAATATCACTTAAAAATATATGTATGCATTGTATTCTGGTCTCATAAATAAAAAGACAGTTAAAATTTAATAATGGTTGGTATCAATAGAATGTTACCTCTTTTTACCATATCTTATTTTTTTTTTATTTTAAAGAGAATAAAATCGAGCAAAATAAACAAGAATAAAATTAATCAAAACAAACCAGGACTTCAAAACAACATGAAATCAACAATGGTCACCATAATGCCTTTTGTTGTCTTTCAAATAGCTGGAGATATCTTAAAATATAGTAAAAATAAACAAAACAGAAGAGAATAGAACCAATAAAAACAAACCAATGAAAGTTATAAAGGACTTCAAAACAAGACAATAGTAAATACAAAAGAGCTACCATAATACATCTTGCTATATTTGAAATAGTAGCTCATGCCTTTGGACATAACAAACTCAAACAAAATGAAACAGACTAAAACCCAACCCAGCAAAGCAATGAAAATGATACAGGACTTCAAAACAATATTAACAATAGCTACCACCTGCAGAGATCCCTCATAAATGCTATACTGTATAACGCTATCCTCTGAAAAAAATGATCAGACCACCAGCCCTAGACCTCAAAGTCAGTGAAACATCAAACACCACAAGTATCAAATTGCATTTCACAATAGTTATCTTCTCAATTGTGTTTCTCAGGATCAGCTAGTTGCTTCCAAAATGGGGGTGGGGTAGGGTGGGGTGGGATGGTCTGTTTCCCAGCCCCCTTGACAGAAAGGGCTGGGGTCTGGCTGTCCCCCTGGGGCTGGTGGCCTGTAAATGACGTTGGCTTGCAGGAAGAACTTGCTTCTTGTTGACTCCTTGCTCTCCTCCCCCACAGTTCACAAATCCATACCTGCTTTTAATCTTAATCATAATATTTGAAAGTATAATGTACTAAAATTGTAGGAATTTTTATGGTTTTTTTTATTTGTTTGTCTGGTTGGTTGAAGTTTTGTAAATGTTTGTTTTCCCAGAAGTTTTCTTAGTAAGGAGTAGTCACATGACACAAGAGAAACATGCTGAAAATTTCTCAAAGATTAGCATTGCCTCTTTTTTCTTATTTGTATTTCAAACACGGATGAAATACTTAAGAAGTATAGCAACTATCTTTTGACCACTAGGCAAAAATACATAGAGATAAGAGCTCTGTAAGTGATAGTGTAAAAAAATGAAAAAGAGTTTTGATGATGACGTAAGACTGTAGACTAATGCTTACACCAAGCATCTGTACACGCCACATAACTAACTTTAGATATTTCAAAACAAATATTGCAACATTCAGGCTTATGATATTTATAATTTTGCAAGTTGTTGAAACAATAAATAAGATCCAAAATGTACTGTAGATATTGTGAAAGGGAAAGGGAGAGAAAATGCTTAAAAGGAAAGAACAACTGGGATGGGGGAAAGGAGAAAAGCAAGAAGGGAAAAGATCATATGTCTGTATATATATTCATACATATATTTATATGTACATACATATACAAGATACACAACTATAATACTAATCTCTATTAGTTCATCAAAAAGAATAGATCATTTGATCGTTTTTTTCATGCCTACGTCTTGTAATCTGGACAACTATTCTGAAGATAACAATACAGAATATATGCATCACTGGTAATCTCCTATTATTTTGTTTTGAAATTCTCTATCATCATTTTTATTCTTTTTTTAAATTACAAAACCAGTAAGTTAATCTTAATTGATTTTAAAGTATCACTTTTTTAGAGTAAGTGAATAATGTAATAACATAATAAAAAGAAACCAGTGTTGCAGATTTGTCTCTTTAATAAGTGACGAGTATGTGTATACATTAAAAAATAACTATTATACACACAATTGAATGAAAATATATTCCTAATATAAAGAAAAATTTGTTTCAAAGCAAAAGTTTTGAAAATAACTCATATGCATAATTGAATGAAAGTGTATTCACTATATGAAAGAAAAGGATTTTAAAGCAAAAGTTTTAAGCATCCTTAAGAAAAATATTGCTCAACATCATAAATTTTGTAAGTGGAGAAAAATACATTTTAAATTTATGTACAAATTGATTGCTTAATATATCTATAAAGTGCATGAAAATATCATTTTTATACTTTCCATTGTTTAAAAATTTCTTTTATAAATTGTACGTTATTGAATCTGTCTTTCACACTATGGTGGTACTTTCTATGTATTCAGGTTGAAAAATTCTAAATTATTAATGGATAATGTCTCAAGTATAATTACAAAGCATTGAGAGATACTCATTTAATCTCTGAAATTAACCCATTTCTTTAGTGTAAAGATATATAAGATAATTTGAAATAAACTTAGTAACTAATAATTTTCCTTTGGTTGCAAGGTTTATGAAACATATAATTCAGAACAGTTCTCCTCTTCATAATATACATAGCAGGGAACAGATTAGAAACAGCCTTGGTTAATCAAACCAGTTGTTTTAAAAACAATCAGAAATTTAGTCAGATGAAAATGAGTTCTCGGTTGAAATTAGAAAGAATGAGAAAGCAATTAAAACATGTCCCTAATCATTTTAATTATTTAAGTAAGAAAAAAAGAGAAAAAAATACCATAAACCTCATTATCAAGTGAGCAGAGGGTAAACCTAGGACATCGTCATGGGGAGTTATGTTTCAATGCTTCCTCTAATTCTTTTCTGCCAAATAAACCCTCATGCATGGAACAAAGAAGCCAGTGCCTTTCCTCTCATCACTCCCCCATTCTATGCTTTTAATAACAGACATCTGACATGCTAACAATCAAGCACGTGTTCTTTCATTGTCTTCTGATCTCAGCTGTGTGATAATGGCTTAAGAGGATGCGTGGAATCACACATCAAGAGTCTTCTTTGTGGACAGGATAACCAAGGGTATACTTCCAATTTGCAGTTTGGTGCTGAGGCTTTAGAAGTGCCACATTTGTTTGATATCCCCTTAATGCTGTGCCATTAATCTACCAAACTCAGAGGTCAACTGCACTGACAATATGTGAATGAGGCATCAAAGATAAAGACTTAGTACAATTTTTGAGAAATAAAAGAAACAGTTTGTTTCAGGAGTTTCATTTTCAAATCTCCAGATATAAACTACTAAGACACCATTCTGCAAAAACTCTAAGTATTTCATATGATATATATATATATATATATATATATATATATATTGCCATGTATAGAATTATCCTAAGAAAAGGTTTCATGTTTTCCATAATGAATGAAGAATCAAACTGTTCAATATTTTACTATTTGGAATTAATCCAAGACCAATTACTTTTCCTGATTATCCTCAAAATAAAATTTTTCTGCATCTTAAACTTTTTTGTGGGAAAATACATTTTTCCCATATTTTAAATCTTTTCTACTATGGACATGTGTTACTGGAACAATAGTAAAATTATCAATAAAATGTAAAGTGTAAAATCTGGCTAGGACTTTCAAAAAAGGGATATTATTACAAAAATTAGAAAAGGTTTATGTTAGATTATTTTTTCCTCTCTGGTATGTAGTTTTTCAAAAAGTTTACTACATAAACTGATTTCCACTCTTTAATTATATTAATAATGCACTTTTTGTCACTGAAATTTATGTAATTGAAACTAAATTTTTGGTATTGATATGTTTGCAGTTAAAGACACTTGAATTCTCATCTACAAATCATTATTCTTCTCAAAAAATATATATATATATATATGGATTATATACATATATATTCTATATATTCACATGTGTATGCAATCGCATCTAGAATTGCATTAGAATATTTCCTATTCTTTTGTTTCATGTTTAAGAACAAAGAAAAAAGTTTATAACATCACATACATATTTAATATTTTACTATTTTAATGTCAACAATAATTTATCAAAATATTGGTAGAAATCAACATATGTATTCTGCACACACTTACTTTTTTGTGGCACTGAATATTGAATCCAGAGGCTTATGCTAACAAATGTTCTGACACTGAACTATGTTTCCAGCAATTTTTAAAAATTTTTATTTTGCTTCAAAACAGGATCTGTAAGAATTACCAAAGCTGATCGGAATTTACTATCCTTCTGCCTCAGTCTTCCAAGTAACTGGGATTACAGACATGCACGACCACCCCTTGCTAAACCTACTTTTAATTCAAACACTCCTTTTATTAAATTTGATTTTGACTTATATTAACATGAAAAAGTAAAAATTCATATTGTCTCCAGACACTACTAAAACCATATGTTCTATACACAAGATGTTCTATGTGTGGTATTAATAGAATTTATTCATGGCCAATTGCTTCTTTTATCATTTTTGTTTTTGTTATGATCATCTTTTCTTGAGCTTCTGTTTAAAAGAAGGAAATACAGTACTACGTATAAGTTCAGAAAATGCTGTCTTTCTGGGTGTGCCACAATGTCTTAAATACAGCACAACTTGAACTTTTAAGGGTCTCCTCACTGCTGCTCATTTCTACACATTTTATAAGGGTTAAATTTTATTTTACAATGGCCCACTGATTAAATTGTACTTTTATTGAACTGTACAATGATTTTTTATGAAGGGACATTTTATTATTTCTTCAATACTTGAGATACCAGCACTGAAATGATTTTCATTTGAGATAAAAATAAAAGAATTAAGATGTGCTATGTATATGCACTGGTTCCCCACAGTGAGCATAATCATTAAGTAATACAAAGATGTACTAATAAAAATTTAAAAATTGAAGAAATTAAAACCCTGAGAGAAAAGTTTGTGTTAAGCTTTTTGGTCAAAAAAACACATCTTTATGAATGAAATTACATTTGTATCATCTTTATTGAGTCTACTCTGAATATTCAAATATCAAAGTTATCTTGCCAATATTATTTCATGGAGTTTAGTTATCTTTTTCCCTAAACTTAATTTCCTAGGAAGAGTCTACTTGACAGAGAATTGTTACTGAATTTGCCTTTAAAATAATCTTCAGAAAGGCAGTCGTTGAATTTGTTACGCAGACAATGAAGGTTAAGTGTGATGATATTGGATTAGAATCAGCAGGAGCTCAAGTAGAGTTAAAATAACATTAAATGTTCTAATTTCAAAATGTAGAAAATTTACTGATATTATATTATTGGTGCCAAAATTATTTATTTGTTCTCATTTTTCATAAAGCCAAATCCGCTAAAGAAAGAAGATAGTTTAGTAATTTAAAAATATTCTAAACCTAGCTACTAGAAGACGGAGGTAACAGAATCACTTGAGCTTGGGAGTTTCAGACCAGCCTGGAAAGCACGACAACACATCATCTCAAAGGTTAATAACAACAACAACAATAAAAAATGTAATAACTTTTATCCTTTACAAGTTTTTGTATACGTGTTTAATCTAGTCAAAGCCCCCCCCAATTATTTTCTTAACTCACCTGCATTAGATAAATATTTCTTCAGAATTTATCCTCCTAGGGGCTGGAGGTTTAGCTCAGCAGCATAAACACCTGCCTTGCAAGCAGGCAGTCGTGAGTTCAATCCCTGGTACCGATAAAAATGAAAAAGACCAAAAAAAAAAAAAAAAAAAAAAAAGAAGAAGAAGAATTTATCCTCTTTCATTTTTATTTCCACAAAATGTTTGTGGGTGTGTTTGGAAGAATGAAAGTACTGTGCTTTTCAGCAAGAAAGCTGAGTCCTTGCATGGAGACTCCTCTGGCTTATTCCCGGTCTTCCCGTCAGAAGCTGTACTGTACTGTACCATACCGTACTGTACTGTAGTGACATAACCCAACTTCTGTCTCTCTCCTTACCTTAGACAACAAGCCTCATGACCTAGCCATCATCAATGCAATGGTTTCCTCTTTTCAGTCTGAAAAAACCTCCTGAATGTTGTTCTTAAAAATTTGATTTTTTTCTTAATATATGAAAGAAAATTGAAATTCTCCTCTCAAGCTTGAATTCGGGAAATTCCGTTTTGAATTCCATGTGCTGAGTACTGTTCATTGTTTTGCGTCTCTTTTTGTGACAACTTTAATCATTCTTCCATCAAATCTACTACTTTAAGATTAGTGAGAAACACAGTACTGATAAAAGTTCAAAAGGAAAACAATAAATATATTTTCAAATTCTAATTTATGTTAAAATGCCTTTACTTTTGAAGTAAAGATAATCTGAGTAAAAAAGAAATTATGATTAAATATATTAAAAGTGACTAAGGGGCTGGGGATTTAGCTCAGCGGTATAAGCACCTGCCTTGCAAGCAGGCAGTCCTGAGTTTGACCCCTGGTATCGCTAAAAAAAAAAAAAAAAGTGACTAGTTAACAAATTAACTAATGCATTTATTTACTCAACATGTTTTTATTGAGTTTTCATAAATTCCAGGGTAATGTTCTATACCCTGGAAATACATCTCTAGAAAAAAATCCCTAGCCTTATGTTTGCTCTCTTCTGGTGAATAGCACAGGTATTGTAAAATGTATGATTTCCCAGGGCTCTAAGTATCATCTATGTCCTGATAACTGCTATCAGGATCTAATTCAGAAAACAAAACCTACTGTAAGGATTTGAAAAAGAACTTTAATAGAATCAAATAACACATAGGTGTTGAAAGAGCTAAGGATAGAAAAGAAGACCCAGTGAAGTCACTGACACATTACCAGGCACTACATTACTTGATAAGGACAGAATTATCAAACATTGATCCAGGACCTCTCCAGATATAAGCTAGAATGATAGCCAGACTACAAGTTGGACCAGCAGCACTAAAGATGTTCAGTCACTGCTAAAAGTATCACATAAGGCAAGGAGAGAAAAAGGAAAGAAACACACGGAGTTGTCCATTCTTCCAACTTTCAGCTTACCATTGCAGAGCTGAACAGAGCAAGGCTGAATAAACCAGGACAGGCTGGGGCATTTGCAGAACTTACATCCTCTCATTATTTTTTCAACTGCATGTTTACGAGTTCAAATGCCTCTAAATGTGAAAAGGTACGATATATTGACTATAAAGCATCAAACTTTGATTATTACCATACACAGAAAGCATCCTAACAAACATAAAGTAAAATAGAGGTCTCCTTGAATTACCCTGTTATACTAAAAGCTGAATTATCACACCTATAGACTATTAAACTTAGGGGTTCATATTTAATTTTCTCTACCTTACACTTCCCTTTTCCTGACCCAGTCATGCCATATTAGTTTTATTTTTCCTTTGTTTTGTTATGTTGTTTGAGAAGGGGTCTAACTGCATTTCCTAGGATGGTCTCAAACTCCTGGGATCAAGTGATCTTGCCTCCTACCGTGCCCAGTGCCCAGCATTTCCATCTGTTCATTTATACAAACAGCTGTGCAGTCCAAGTGTACATTAAATTTACCCTAGATTTTATAAGACTAGTGTATGGAGATCATTCAGGCTTGCAGAAAACTTGAATGAAAGGTACAGAGGTTTCCCATGAATCAGTTGCCACCACACACACACACATAGCCTCCTCCTCCATTATCAGTGTTCCCCAGCAGGTGCTATGGCTGTTATAACTGGAGAACACTGACACATCTCTATCAACTGAGTTCCCGGTTTGCATTAGAGTTACTCTTGGTGCTGTGTATTTTATGTATTTAGACAAATATGTATTGATATGTATTTACCATTAGAGCATTGAATAGAATATTTTCACCACTCTAAATTCTTCCAACCCAATATTTACCTTTTTACTATTCATAGTTTTGACATTTCCAAGATCTTGTACATTTGAAATATATAGAATCTAATCTTTTCAGATTGATTCTTTCACTTAATATAAATTTAACATTCTTCCATATCTTCTCCTGCTTAATAGATGTTTTCCTTTTAGTACTGAGAAATATTACATTGTCTAGCTTTACCATTTTGTTTCTCTAAATATTTCCCAATACCCTACAACAGTCTTGATGTGACTGATTGTACTGTTCAAAGATGGCAAAAATAGGCCCTTCCATAGAGATCAAGCTTATACAAATGTTTGCCTAAGGTGTGTGTGGGTTAGGAATGGGAATGACCAGTAGGCAGTGGGAGTAGGAGAAAAGGAATAGGAGAAAAATGTAAGGTTTATTTTGAAGAAAATAAATTTTCTAAAATTGGATCAAAGTGATGGTATCAGTAGTCAATTACTATACTAGAAACCATCAAACTCTACATTGTAAATGTGGAAACTACATGATACATAAATTATATCATGCTAATACAATTAAAAATACGCAACCACAATAATTCTAATGAGATTGGTAATGATGTTAAAAGTACACAAACAAAAAATTTTAGTGAGATCATATAAATATAGTCCTGAAGTTATTCCTTAATAGTCTTCCAAAATATTCTAAATTCTTAGGCCAACAATACTAAGAATAAATCCCTATAAGGTCATAACCTTGTCTATCCTGATGAGGACCTTAGTGTTATACACTAACAAAAAGAGCTTTGTTGTGTTTGTATTATATTTGCCAATGTCCAAGTTATATAACCAAATTACCTGCTAATTCTCTTTGCAAAAGCAACTATTTTCTACAACAGGACACCTTGGGGCACCGACCACATTGTTATAAAACAGCTGTAGTGCCATCATGCTGTTCTGTATGCCCCATCTTCCTGGGTGACCTAATTGATATGTTAACTATTGCTCCTCTCTGCAAGGGACTGTAAATTCCTGGGAATCTGACCTGGTTGATATGTTAACCATTGCTCCCCTCTGCAAAGGGAAACAAAGGTCTTCCTCATTCCTTAGCAGATCAAGGATTTCTTTATTCCCTGAGCCACACCCATAAACCCCTTACTTTGTAAATTGTACTTGCTAAAAAGCCTGTAAAAGTTTTAAGCGAGACACACAGCTTCGCAAACTCCAACTGCACTGTGTCCCTGCTACCAGGTTAAATAAAAGCGCTCCTTTTTTCTTAAAAAATATGTCTTGCCCCATTTTTGAACACCAATTTGGGGGGCTCGGTTTTGGGGTACAAGACTTAGAACCTTTCAACTCACTTTAATCCTCATTATTTTTAGCTATGCTGGCATTTCTGTGTTTCTCTTAGTCTGGGTTTTCTCTCTTTTACGATATTTGTATCACAATGAAGTATATACCTGAAGGCTTACTCTAGGTCTTCACTTATTTACATCCTTATAACTCCTCAGATGTCAACTCACATATAAATTATTTCAGGCAGATGAATGTGACTGAAATAGTCACCCTGGTCATGCTCTTTACACAACACAGTATTTTGTCTTTATAACACTTCTAACACCGTAAGCTATCACCTGAACTGTTTTATTTGCTTCCTTGTACTGTCTTTTTCTCCCACTAGAGCTTTAAGTTCCATGGGAGTCCAACTTTAATTCAACTCTAATCTTTTTATTATCACTTCATAGTGTACTGAAATGTGCACTGTGTAGATGCTTAGTAAATATTTATTCACTGAGGAATTCTTTACATTTAATTATCTTCTTGTATTTGTTTCCGTGAAGCAAAAGAGTGTTTCTAAAAACAAGACATGCCCCAAAGATATTCTTTGTAACTTTCATTCTCACCTTTGAAGGCTTATGGCAAGAGAAATCTTGGGGTGTCTTTAGATCAGGCTGGTAGTATTCAGAGAGGATTTAATATTCCATTATTACCTATCAATTTTAACAACTATATTGAACCTTCCCATAGGAATGATGAAAAAAATCTTATAAATTTTTGTTTGCCACTGTATTTGCCAAAAGTATTTGCCACTTATACTATTATGAATTATAATAGAGTGAAGAAAATGGACACATAATAGCACATCAGGAATCCAAACTTCTTGCCTTGTAGACCCAAAGAAATCACATCACTTAACTGATTCTGTAAAATACTGAGCTTCTTCTAGATCCTTCTAGAACTAGAAGGATCTAGATTATTCTAAAATTTAAACTCTTGTTTAAACTTTAAGGAAATTGTGCTATAGGAACAACACAGGTGTGACAACCCTGTGCTTGATCTAGTCTAAGTACTTTTCTCAGTTGCACAGGATGATTTTATACTTTTATTGTCCATATTGTTAAGAGACATTTCAGGTGTTGAGCTCTTTTGTGACTTGGTGGGTATAGTGTTGTGTCACTTCCTCCACTCCCTGCTCTGAGGCCCACCCATGAAGTTGTAAAATAGCTCAACATATGGAATGTTTGTCTCTCCTGCAGGAAAAGAAATATGATTTGCTTAACATAATGACATCTTTATCATCTTGGAATGAGTGGTAAGAATAATACCTAAATATATTGAGCAGCATACTAACTGATTTTTACCTTCACAACAATTCTATGAAGAAAGTATTGTTTGTATCCCCATAATACAGATGAGAATACAGCACAGAAGAGTGAGTAACTTCCCCTTCACACAATTCATGAGAGGGATACTGCGATTTCAATCCATACAGTCTGATTCCAGGCCCATGAAACACTACGTACATTGCTGTATAATTCTAGAGCAAACTGCTACAATAATTTGTTCAGTATTCCAAGCCAGTAAAATATTTGAGTTGTACCTCAGAGAGGC